TCTCCATGGAGAAGGTGAAGGTGAAGCGGTACGTGTCGGGGAAGCGGCCCGACTACGCGCCCATGGAGTCCTCGGAGGAGGAGGATGAGGAGTTCCAGTTCATCAAGAAGGCGAAGGAGCAGGAGGTGGAGCCCGAGGAGCAGGAGGAGGAGCTCGCCAACGACCCCCGGCTCCGGCGCCTCCAGAACCGCATCGCCGAAGATGTGGAGGAGCGGTGAGTGCTGGGCTCTGGGAGAGAGCAGCCTCCTGGGAGACAACGGGTGGGGTCTGCCCACACTCGGCAGTTCCAGCGCTTGCCATGGCCTCGTTAGGAACGATTCATGAACAGTTAACTTCTCTCAGCCTCTTTACGTTCGAAGTGCTGTCATTTAATTGGGGTCTGTTGCAGGCTGGCAAGACACCGTAAAATTGTGGAGCCTGAAGTGGTTGGAGAAAGTGATTCAGAGGTGGAGGGGGAAGCTTGGCGCCTGGAGCGGGAGGACACCAGCGAAGAGGAAGAGGAAGAGATCGATGATGAGGTGCACTTGCAGAGCCCAATATCAGGCCTAGGGAAGCCCGTGAACGGCACAGGCTGGAACTGCCTTTTGCATGGACGTGTGGGCTCTCTGGTGGAGCTGGACAACTGTCACAGCTGGCCGTGACTTCACTTGTGGGTTACTGCTCTCTTGTGCGAGACGGGGCGCAAGGAGAGGCCACCCTGCATCCAGAGGGACGGGCGTATCGTTTCGTAACCAACACTCCAGACACAGCACGTGTCGGACAGGAGAGTGAGAGGGAAGCGGTGGTGGGGCTGGTCGTCTGACCCCTCTGTGTTTGTCTCCATCAGGAGATCGAGCGTCGGCGCGGGATGATGCGCCAGCGCGCACAGGAGAGGAAAACCGAGGAGATGGAAGTGATGGAGTTGGAAGATGAGGGTCGATCCGGAGAAGAGTCCGAGTCAGAGTCCGAGTACGAGGAGTACACGGACAGCGAGGATGAAATGGAGCCGCGTCTCAAACCTGTCTTCATCCGCAAGTGGGTGATGCGGCTGCGTGGGTCAGCCCTGGGTGAGGACATGAGAGTCGGGAGTTGGGGGCGGAGCAGACGCTGCTGCCATGGTCTCTGCTGCCATGGTCTCCTTTCCGTGCTGTGGCGGGAGCGAGGGGTGATCCCTGCACTGACAGCCCCTCGTCGGTCGCTGCGGGTTCAGGCTGTCGCAGCAGGGTCTGTCCGGAGTCCTCGGGCAAATGCTCCGTGGCAAAGGGAAGCCGTTGGCAGCGGGGGGCGTGGTCCCCCATCGCTTGCGTGTGCACCTGCAGCTGTAGGGGAACGGCGCGGTAAGCCCCAGTGCAGGCAAGGCCGGAAAGGGGAGAGCCCTCGGACTCAGCCTGTCCTCGGAGAGAGCAAAGGCTGAACGCGGCTGCGGTGCAGGAGGGGGGAATTCTGTGAGGAGCCGAGTGGCTGCGCTGGCTCACGGAAAGGCTGAAGGCTGTTGTGGTCCCTGCCTGCAGGAAGGACCGGATCACAGTGCAGGAGCGAGAAGCAGAAGCCTTGAAGCAGAAGGAGCTGGAACAGGAGGCAAAGAGGCTGGCGGAGGAGAGGCGCAAGTACACGCTCAAGGTGCTGAGGGGCGGGCTGGGGGTCGCACGGAGGGGCGGCGGCAGTCACTGCAGCAAGCTTAGCTTGTGCCTTGCTGCAGATCGTAGAAGAGGAAGCGAAGAAGGAGCTGGAGGAGAACAAGCGCTCACTGGCAGCACTGGATGCACTTGATACAGATGATGAGAACGATGAGGAGGAGTACGAGGCCTGGAAAGTACGTGAGCTGAAGCGTATCAAACGGGACCGTGAAGAACGAGAGGCGTAAGTATCGTCTGCGTAGACACGAAGCTGAGAGGTCGCAGCCCCAGGTCCCACAGGCCCCTGGGCAGTTGAGGCATCTCTTCCTCAGGCTTCCCTTTGGCAGCACGGTCTTAGCTAGAACAAGTGCTCAAAGCCTCTCCTGCCCGCCCTCGGGGTGCCTTTGCTCCCCTACGGAGTCAGTAAACGTACAGGACGGCAGCTGGCGACAGCGGCTGTCCCGGGAATGTGTGGTGGGGACGCGGGCTCAAGGGTTTCTCTCCTGCCCAGCATGGAGAAGGAGAAGGCGGAGATCGAGCGCATGCGGAACCTGACAGAGGAGGAGCGCCGGGCCGAGCTTCGGGCCAACGGCAAGGTCATCACCAACAAGGCGGTGAAGGGCAAATACAAGTTCCTGCAGAAGTACTACCACCGCGGCGCCTTCTTCATGGTGAGTGGTGCCGTGAGGGCCTGGGCACGCCCGCACTGGCAGCAGGGGCTGGGCCTGCGCACCGGAGGGGCTGTGCGAGACCACGGGGACGTCTTCTCCCTGTGGGGAGCCTCCCCCCATGGTGCCCTGGGGCTGGGGGTGCCTGGGACGAGAGCCAGCCCTCGGAGGCAGCACAGGGGTGAAGTGAGCGAGGTGATCTGAGCTCAGCCAGCTCTTG